CAACAACTGTACACATCAACAACTGTACACAACAACAACTGTACACAACAACAACTGTACACATCAATCAGTGTTACACTGACATGAAGAATCCCATGTGGTCAACAAGTCACTCTGCAAAGACATGGACTTTTATGAACCTTCAACAGCCACACACACACACAACATGGTAACTGGACAGTACTTATACAACTCCTTTCTATCTCATCAAGACACTCAAAGCTCTTTACAAAACAATCTGTGCCTCAATTACCTCCACACACACATTCATACATCACTCTACTACACAGCAGGGGTGTAACGTACGCTAAAATCACATTTTGGTTCGGTTCAGTTTCAAGGAGGGCTCGGTTCGGTTAATTTTCAGTACAAAAAAAAGACAAAATAAAGACTTACAAAACGTTTATTTTGAAAATATTCCAAGTAAACAATATGTTTGTATAAAAATAAATAAAAGCGACCCAATTTGGATGACATTTTAAATAAACAGCACTCTTTACAATAAATAAACTATACTAATGAAAATTGAAATAAATACAATACCAGTCAGAACCAGAACAACAAGCAGCAACAGTTTACAATCTAACTAATCAAGTTTTAAGTTTTTGTCCAAAAAGACCAACTTGTCCACATTTTCTGCCAAAAGCTCAGATCTAGTTGCAGTGAATATGTCCAGCGGTGGAGGAAACCTCTCACTAACAACAGGAGCAGGAATAAAGAGGTAGAGCTTTGTTAATGTTGCAGTGTGGCTGGATCTGGCCTCATTACTCTCAACCTCTTGGACCTGCTCTCACCTGTACCTGGAAAAGTTCAGAGTTCACTCATCTAGGGCTTTAACAGACTACTCGAGTAATCAACAGGTCGATTCCTAGGACATCTATCGAGTTTTTAAATTTCACGTTGAGTATTCGCAGTGACGTCATTGTGTCACGTGATCCGCACCGGGCTACTAGCAGAAGCTACCAACTGGATTCCTCCCAGCAGCGGGACTGAGCGGAGCAGGTCCAGTCTTGGCAAACAGGTAGAAATGCATCAGTCGAATGTAAATATTTCACTAAAGATGAATCTTCTGGTTCAACTACTGTAAGGAAACAGAAGATGAATCAAATTCCTGACTGTTTGGAGCTCGTTGTGAACCGGTGTTACACCACATTCTGTGACCACTGTATATTGTGACCGTAGGGGGCAGTGTTGCATGCACTGTTGCAGGTCACAGAATATGGTGCAACACCGGGTCCAATCGACCGAACCAGAACCAGCTTCCTCTGACCTTGTTTCACAAACTAAAAGCAAAAAATATTAATCTCTAAACCTATAAAAAAAACCTATAAACATATTAATCTCTAAAACTAAACTTAATGCGCACCACAGCTGGTGGTGGTGCGTGGTGGTCGACCCCCCACTGGTTTTAGTTTTGTTTTTGACGTGCTGCGTTTCTTCACGTCCATCCATCCATCCATTTTCTTTACCCGCTTATTCCATTTTGGGTCACGGGGGTCGTTGGTGCCCATGTCCAGCAATCACTGTGCAAGGGGCGGGGGACACCCTGGACGGGTCTCCAGTCCATCACAGGGACACAGAGACAAACGAGACAAACAACCATTCACTCTCTCACTCACACCTAGGGACAATTTAGAGTTACAAATCAGCCTAACATGCATGTTTTTGGTCTGTGGGAGGAAACCGGAGTACCCGGAGAAAACCCACGCATGCACGGAGAGAACATGCAAACTCCACCCAGAAAGGCCCCTGGACCGGGGTTTGAACCAAGGACCTGCTCGCTGAGAGGCAGCAGTTCTACCAGTTGCGCCACTGTGCTGCCCCTGCGTTTCTTCACGTTTGCAGCTTAATAATAACTAATAGTTTAGTTTTTCCTGTGAATTATTTGCAGTATAATAAATGGGAGGAGCATAATATATGCTCCCAATGTTTTGTTGGTCTTTTTTTGTTGTAAATAATAAATGACGTTTTTTTGTGGTTTTATTTATTTTCATCTTGAGATTCTATGACGTCATCAAGCACTCAAGTTCTACTCGAGTTTTATTTTATTAATGTCATTTTAAAAATTATGTAGTCGTTCAACCCTAGTCATCACAGACTTCTTAGCTGGAGGTGATCTCTGGTGGATTTCCCTGAAGAGGAAGAAGACTCAGCTGCTATCTCTTTCCCAGACTGGAAATAAAACACAGAGGTAAAAAAACGAGTTAATAAGATTAAAATTTTAAATTAAAAATGTTAATTAGCTCATAATACAATAACATTACCTCTTCTTACATGGTCATCATTTCTGTTATGAGGTGGTTGAATCTCTCGTTCATCATCATCATCAGGGCTTTAATCTGGTCCAGGGCTTGTTGACAAGATCAGTTTCATCTTTTTCATAAAGTGCTGCTACAGCTTTTTGGCTGAAGTGTTGACGTGATGGGATGTTGTAAAAAACATTTGGGCGTAGATCCAGAGCTGTAAAACGTGCTACAGCTTGTGTTGTTGCTCTGAACTGATCTGAATGACCTGATAAAGTTGTTTAAATGCTGCTGTTATCGGTGTTTGAACCAAACTACGTTCACGTTCAGGTGATGTCGTTTCAGGGTGTTAACAAGTTGGACGTGTTGCTGCTGCAGATCCAGTCTCTGTGAAACAACGAGGACACTCAGCTTTGGATTTGTTCACTTGTCTTTTAACAAGAAACACATAATGTTCCCAAACAGGAGACCACAACGAGAAGCTAGGCTGCTAATGCTGCGCGTGCTGCAAGATAATAGCACCGTGCTGAAACACGCTCTGGAACTTCAGTTCCGCGGCTCATAATCTGTCGTTAATAAAATTTAATGAGTGAAAAAATAACTGCAACGGTACGGTACACCCACGTGTACGTTCCACCACTACTGCACACATTCATACAGCGCTCTACGTCATCTGTACAAAGATAATATGAACAAATCATTCTAAAGAGAATAATCAGAGCTTTATCACATTCATGCACTGATGGGACACATCAGAGGCTATGAGGGTTCAGTGTCTTGCCCAGGGACACTTCAGCATGTGACTGCTGGTGGAATCAAACCCCCAACTCTCGCATTGGAGGACGACTGCTCTAACCACTCAGCCACAGCCGCCTCAGTCAAAATGAACCTTCAAGTACAAGAGAGTAAAATACCAGCTGAATATTTGATTATATTAGTCAGGTTTTGTAACTGCAGAGGGAACATTGTGTAATCCAGACTGAAGGAAGAGCAGAACCAACCCATCCTGGAGCAGAGAAGATGATGTCTGATCCACTGACGTCCTGAGAAGACCTCAGAGAAGTGCTGCTGAGACTCGTGGCTGCTCTCAGAGCTAACAGCATGGTAGGGGTTTTACCTTCATGTGTTTTACGGCTGTAGAACCAGCACTCCACCATCTCAGGCAGCAGATGAAACCCACAGGTGAACACAACAAGTTCCTGCATGCTCCTCTGGGAGTTGTTGAAACACATGCTGTGGAAGGAGGAGCAGCCTTCCTCCCGTTTGAGGGCGACTCACCAGAAAACAGAACCTTTTCAACAACCGCTCGACAACAAATCAGACCGTCTCACACCTTCTCCTCACTTCACCTTTAACTGGGAAATGATCAAACTTAGACATTCTTGTAAGCTCCAAAAAGCTGAACTCACCCTTTAAGCAGCATGAAGAGGATCTCTGGGTGTGAGGAGATGTATTCCACGGTCGGTGTGCGAGTGCCGATCTGCCGTCTCACAATATTGCTGAACAAATGGACCACGTCCTTTTTGCCCTGAGACACAAGGCTCAGATGAACGAGTGATGGGAACCAGTACTTCTGCTTGAGGCACAGACGCTCCGAGACAAGTCCCACTTCAGGTCTTTACTTAAAGCGTTACAAAATAATTCATGCTTTTTGCTTCGGTTGAAACGTACGGCTCCTCACCTCAAAATCGATCTTCTGCAGGTTTGCAATGAGGGCGATAAGAAGGTTGGTGTTGTAAAGCTCTTGTGCAAGCTGAGCCACAGCTTCAGTCTGAGGCTCCTTATCACCCGTTCCACAGAGAACCTCCTTTAGGGAACCAAGGTTTTTGGACACCTCCTCTGCAACCTTAACAACAGCAGCAGTCAACAAGAGTGACGTTTAGCTCATCTAATGAAACAACAAAAAGGTCATTGTTCTGCCAGAGTTACACGTGGTTCAGACCTTCTCACACTTCTTGCTCTCTCCAGCTTCCAGCTTCTCCAGGTAGGTCACATTGTCCTTTAAGCTCCTCACTATTTCACCTGGATTCTTCTGAGACTTCCCGAAAGGAAAAGGCATGACTGAAGATGGAAACTCCAAATGTCCTGCATGAAAAGATGGTTTGACACATTTAAACAATAAACTGCATTGTGCAGTGGTGTGCCTTCCCACAGTCACGTACACCTTTATAATTACTGAAGTATTAGTTTTATAAGGAGATCTCTCATGAACACTAAATTAAATGTTTAACAGGCAAAAAGGAAGTAAAGAGTAAAACGATGACAGAAGTTTGCAACAACCGAAGCGCTGCAGAAAATAAGCTCAAGGGGAAATCAAAAGACCAGAGATGCACTGGTTTGATCAAAAGTTCCAGTTTACAAGCAGCACGCCGAAGTTTTCAAGACGAGTGTTTTTCTGGACTGGAACTGAGCAAAGAATGCAAGTACTGGTAAACACACATGAACGTAAAGAAAAATGTTTTGGTGCAAGTTGTCCCAGTGCGCAACAGAAAGAGTTTTTATTTTTAGTGACAAATCCTGACGAGTGGAGGAAGCAAGTTGATCCACCACCAGCAGCAATGGGGGGGGGGGGGGGGGGGCATTGTTCAAAGATTAGACTTCAGCCACTATAACCATTTAGGGAAACTATACTTGTACGCATTGTAAAAAGTAGAACACGGTTTCTTGAAGTGACGTTACATGTATACATATGTATGGTGGTGGTGGCCATCGTGGGCTCTGACCTGGCAACCCATGTTTTCATGGAGACTTTTCTTACGTGTACATGCAGCCACACGCAAAAATGGAAATCGGCACATTATTTTAAAAGTTCTCCAGCTCACACCAAAATGGAAGTACCGTGTTTTCCGGCAGATATGTCGCAGTTTTTTGCATAGATTGGTCCGTCCTGCGACTGTGGCGAAGCAACTTGTGTTCTTTTGTCATATTCATAACCCAATATTTGACTGATGCTTTAAATGTCTAAGAACTGCAACAGCGAGTCCTCCCGTGCACGCTCGCTTCACTCAGCTGGTGCAGGCGGAGGAACGCTGGAGAGCTAGTGGCTCTGGATGGACGGAGCTGCACCGCCAGGTGAAATGAAGTGGTTTGGACCATCAAATAAATGCAACTTATACGCTGAAGCGACTTATAAATGGTTTTTTCCTCTTCATGATGCTTTATGGAGTGATGATGGACTTATGGTCCGGAGCGACTGATACACTGGAAAATACGGTTGTTATCTCGACCGTGACACCAACACTGAGCTACACAGATCATAGATAACAGACACAGGGAAACAACAATCGAAGAAAGAACTGATCAAATTATAAAAATAAAATAATAATAACAAGGTGGTACCCTGAGCTGTGGTTGAAACCCATGCAGGTCATAAAACAAGTCGGGGGTCTTCAGTTGATTTTCAGAAATGTAAAGATAATTTTCTAAGTTTAAAGATAATTGTTAGCATTTTTACCAAATTAGTTCTAAAATGTAAAAAACAGCCGTCATGACGTGATGGACTTACATAACCGTTTAGACTGTCTGCTCAGCCGCTGTATTGTTGTTTGTAGCTTATTATCCATGATTAAAGCAACAGTAGGAAGGTTTGCAGGTTGCTGTGGAACTCCGCTCAGTGGTTCATTAGATATTTTACTGACAGACTGAGTTGACCAATAATTAACAGAAGGTTTCAAACAAACATTTTGCATGATTAGTTAGTACTTGGAGTTTTTATTCAACCTTTATTTCTACAGGTTAGTCTCATTGAGCCTCCAGGACTCGTTTACAACAGAGACCTGCTTTAACAAAGAATGATGACAACAGTAGACAATCATAAAATAAACATATAAACTGGGAAAAATAAATGTAAGTATGTATTTGGGATTACTCTCAGCTACTGTGAGACCAAATTCTTCAACTGATAATCTGTCAAAGCTCAATATCTGATTTTTATCTTCGCTCAAGTCGATTTGGCTGCTCACATCATCACAGTCCCTGTGACCCACATCTTCAATCTCTCCATAAGACAAAACTCCATCCAGACACTTGAAAACAGCCTTTGTTCTTCCTTTGCTGAAGGGAGGAGACCCCACCTCACTGAACAACTATGGACCAATCTCTAAACTCTGCATTTTAGCCAAGGTTCTAGAAAAACTGATAAACTCTCAAATCAAAAATTACCTGGACTCATTTAACATCTTACCTCCACATCAATCTGGTTTCAGGAAACAACACAGCACAACCACTGCTTCACTGAAGGTTCTTCATGACGTTGTTGAAGCACTGGATGCTAAGGATTATTGTGCTGCACTTTTCTTAGACCTGTCTAAAGCTTTTGACACTGTGGATCAGAACATCTTGTGTCATAAACTCTCAGAAATCGGTTTCTCAGAACACACCATTGGTTGGTTCTCTAACTATCTCTCAGACCGGAGGCAATGTGTTCAACATAATGGTACTTCCTCCAGTTATTCAACAGTCAACAATGATGTACCACAAGGCTCAGTCTTAGGACCTACCCTCTTTACAATCTACATACGTAATGTAGGTAAAAACATCCCTAACTCATCCATACATTTCTATGCTGACGACACAGTTGTTTATTGTCGAGCTAAAACTGTTGCTAAGATTTTCAAGCTTTTGAAATCTGCATTTAACATCATCCAGACTGATTTGTTTCACCTCAAACTTGTCCTAAATGCCGACAAAACCAAAGGGATGCTTTTTTCAAACAGGAAGTCGGTCCCAGCAGTTCTTCCTCCGATTTTATCCTCAAAAGGTGTCCCCATTGAGTTTGTTGATTCCTATAAATATTTGGGTATCTTGGTCGACTCACATCTCTCTTTTAAGCTCCATGTGGAAAACTTGATAAAGAAACTGAAAGTTAAACTGGGTTTCTTTTTCAGAAACAGATCCTGTCTAACTCTGAATGTTAGGAAACGTCTTGTATCTGTGACTTTCCTTCCCTCCATTGATCACGGTGACATTATTTACATGAACGCTCCTACAAGAACCCTGCAGATGTTGGATGCTGCAGATGTTGGATGCTGCAGATGTTGGAT